CCCAATAAATAGATTTAAAAAGAGAGAGAGAACAAATAAAATCAATAAATTTAAAAATGCTTTTCCTCATTAGTTATATTAAAGCTGTTTTATCAGAAAATACTGTGGAGTTTATGATTAGGTCATTAGCAGTCCTCTGTAACCTTTGTGCCTATTACTCAGAGTGGTAGCCAGTTTCATTTTTCTTGCAGTTAGAAAAACCTTTTGATTTATGACTTCTGTGCATCCCTATTTCTTTCAATTGCTGTATTGCTCCTCAGAGAACATTCTCAAAAATTGCATGTGCCCTCCTTTGTTTTCAGAAGAATCTATTAATTCCCTTTAGAAACAGTTGCTTAGCTGAGTTTTACAAGGTTTGAGAAATTTGGTTCAAATTTATAGTTCCCCAAAATTAGCCTGAAGAATTGTCTATCAAAATCCTTCAACTTTTTTTTACATTATTCCTACATAAATTCATTCATCTAATAATAATTTAATCATTCCCTAAGTGACATATTCAAAAAATAGATATCCAGCCTAAAATCTATGAACTTACATGTTAGCTAGAGATTTGTACACAAATAATTATTTTTAAATGGTACACACTAGATTTTATTATAAAGATGAGAAAAATGGGAGGCTGTGAAGGTTAAGAAGGGTGGCTAGTCCCAAAAATGAACATCAAGATTCTTGAAGGTTGTCATTTGAGAAAGTCTTAGAAAGATAGAGGTGGGAAGTGGGAGGTGGTCAGAACAACCCATCAATTCCTAAGTGACACAGGCCACCCAGGTGTCAATCATTCATTTCACAAATATTATTTGAGCACCTGCTGTGTTAGACTTCTCTGGATGCTGAAATATATAATTATGGCAAAATATATAAAAGGGACCAAATTTATAAAAGAGACAAAATATATGGCAAAATATATAAAAGAGACAAAATTTCCTACCCTCACAGAGTTAGTACTCTAGTCTGGAGATAGATAATAAGCAATCAATATAAAAGGAAAAAGATTGTATAGCCTGTATGCAGGTAATCAGAGCTAGGAGGAAAAAATGGAAGAGCTGAGTAAGTAGAGGGTTAGCAGTACTGTTAAGGGGGAGCAGCTCTCTGGGAGGTGAAGGATAAATCTACTAAAGGAGTGATAACTAAGCAAAGACTTAAAGAACACGAGGGAGTTTGGGCGGAGCAGAGAGTGTGCCCCGCAGAGGAACTAGCCAGTGCGAAGACCCTGAGGCAGGGGCCTGGAGAACAGAACAGCAGAGATGCTCAAGGAGCTGAAGTGTAAGGAGAAGGAGAGGTCGCACACGCACATGATGGCCGGTCACATAGGGCTTCATACGTCACTGGAGGGCCTTTGGTTTTTACTCTGAGTGAAATGGGCAGCCATTGCAGATGAACAGATCTGACATGATTTAACTCCTTTATTTTAACTTTTATGTAGAGACCAATACTGTGTTAGGCATGGGCAAAGCAGACCTATGAAGTGAGGGTGGGGGCATTACAGTACCCAAAACAAGAAATGAGTGTGGATCATTCTGGAACAGTGCGATGAAAGAAGAGATAAATAGATGCTGGGTATACTTTTAAGGTAGAGGAAACAAAATGTACTAACAGATCTGATATAAAATGAAATCAATAATGAATTAAGGGAAAGCAGCACCAAAGTGGTTCCAGGCTTCTAGGCTCTAGCAACTGAGAGGCTGGAACTTCCATCAAGTGGCTTGAGTTTAGGTGAAAAGCATTTCCGAGTTGGGGGAACCTCAAACCTTCCGTTTTGGAAGAGTGACATTTGCGAGCATTTAAAAGTGCAGGAGATAAGTCTGGATTGAAGATAGGAATTTGGTATATAAGTTATATTAGTATGTAAGTAAATGTAAAGCTATCGACTGGATTAAATGCAGAAAGTAGATATATGGTAAGTAGGAGAAAAGGGGCCTGGATTAAATCATGGAATAATCCAGTGCAAAGAGTTTCAGTGAGAAATGAAATTAACAGCCAAGGAGACTGAAAAGAGGAAGATGGAGTGGAAGGGAAACTAGGAGAATCTGGCGGCCTGGCAGTCAAGGAAAGAATGTGTATTCAGGAGATATGATATAGCTCTGACACGCGTGCATGGATAGGAGCAATCATGGGATAGCACAAAGTAATCATAGCATAATACTGAACTCATAGGTTTGCGATCAATGTTCATGCATAAGAATAATGGTGGCTGGGGTGGTAATAAAGTTAGCAACGGAAGGAGTGATAGTTTAATTATTGCATGGACATTTTTTTCTAGTTTACAACATAGATATTTAAAAGAGGTACTTTGAATTTATTCAGCTGGCCATTGGATCAGGATTTCTAAACTTTTTCAGTCAGGTAAAATCTAAGGTCTGCTTCCAAGAATAATGCCCAATTGTCTGATTCAACTCCAAATTAACTCCACGACTTTCGCTTGGAGAAAAAGTAGATAAATGTGTCCCAAGGAGGCATATAGTTTATGCATGATATTAAGCCAAAGATGTAAGAGACACGAGAGTATGTTTACCTTCTTCTTCAGGTAGGAAAAAGAACACTTGCCGTATATTCTATATTCAGATTAATAATCCATATTTTGAGTATGAGGCACTGTAAAAGCCAACGAATTTGGATCCATATCACTCTTGATACTCTTATCTCAAATGATTAATAACATAGTTCATTACAATATAAGAAAAAGGATTTCATGAAAGAAACAGTTTATCTTGATGTACCATCGTTACAGAGTGGAAATCAAGATGTACAAAAATCCCACAAAAACTATTTATTAAAAATGGAAAATCTTCTGTTTGTCTAGAACAGTTTCTACATTTTATGATTGAGAACAATTTCAATGTATTTTATATATAATATTGACACAGTACACATAACATACTATATGTAGTTATAGATATTATACCCAACTAGTTCATAGATTCATTTTAGGGTCATAATGCCTTTTGGAAAGGATTGTGGACTATTCCTCTTTTTTCTTGTGTATTTGTACTATAGTTTCATGCTGTGATTACAAGCCAGTGATAACTTTGCCTGGAAAATGGGTGAAGGGAGACATCGGACAGGGCAAGATATGACAAAAATTTATAAATTATCAAGGGCTCATGAGGGAGGGGGGAGTGGGGAGGAAGGGGGAAAAATGAGGACTTGATGCCTGGGGCTTAAGTGGAGAGGAAATGTTTTGAGAACGATGAGGGCAATGAATGTACAAATGTGCTTTACACAATTGATGTATGTATGGATTGTGATAAGAGTTGTATGACCCCCTAATACAACGATTTTAAAAAATTAAAAATAATAGAAACTTTAAAAAAAAAAGAGTATTCTGTCCAACACGAACCTTGACCTTGTGGTTCCTTCCAACAGGGAATGTGGAGCCGGGACATTTGTCAACTTTGCATCCTTAGAGCGGGATGGAAAGCTGCCATACAACTGGTGAGCAGTGTTTTAGAACAAACTTCCCCATGGTTTAGCTCTGTTATGTGTTCTCCAAATTGAACATCTTTGGGGGATAAATTCCTTTACCTGATTATCCTTTGAAAATGTACTTACAAAGGTTGCATCTTATTTACAGAGCCCAGTAATTGCTAGAGTTTATCAGTTCAGAAGTTTAGACAATGTTGTAGCCCGTTCTGTATTTGCTACAGTCAACAAAGCATGGAGGCCACTGTGCAAACGACTGCAGGGCAATGAGGGCACAAGGAGAGACTGCCCTGAAGCGGCAGGAGGTAGAACAGGGCTGCCATTCAGAAGTCCCAGCTCAGTGCCTGGAGATAGGAGCCACCAGGACTATTCAAACATGAGATAGGAGTGTACAGGCCAGGAGCCCTAGCCCTGCGCTTCTACTTACAGAAGAAATGCTAAATCCAAGAAGAATGAAAAAAACAAGGCCTCAATGTTCTTAATTCTTGGGCATTTAGAAACATTAATTAATGCTTGGGTAGGAATAAGCATTTCAGAGTAACCCAGCATTATTGACATTACTTGGTTTGTTTCTCTTGCGAGCAACCATGCAGTGTACATTTAAATGCATACAGTGTCAAATTATCTAATAAACATGCTAAGCACAGGCTTACTTGTGCTTGTTTACTCCTCTGTGGTGAATGATCTCACATTCTTTCCACCACGTCAAAGACTCTGCTTCTAAGTATGGCTGGCATCTGTCTCTCTCCCGACACCATAGCCCCTCCCTTACAGAATCAAAACTCTTCAAATTTACAATTGCTAGTAGGGTAAGAGTGCCAGGAAGCGACGTAAACACAGGCTTACTTGTACTTATTAATCTACAGTGAACAGTTTCACGTGTTTTTCAGGAGGCCTTTTGGGTGAAAATGTTCACTACAGATTCATAAACACAAGTAAGCCTTTGCTTACCTTTCTTATTAGGTATCCTATCCACGAATAATCAATCCTTGATAAGTAATTTTCCCCCCTGTTTTTCTAACCCCTCAAAATGGCTATCCTTTAAAAAAATAGATGCAAGGGAATGGAAATTTTATTCTATAGCATCAGCAAGGGCAGTGGGGCTTTATTCAAAATACTTCTCTGAGTGAGCTTCATTGAAAGAGAATTCCTTTTAATAAACCAGTATGGTGGGTCACTAAAATGTTTACTATGAATGGAGTGTTGTTATTAAAATAATATTTTAAATTAAATTTTTGTTATTAAATTATCCAACTGTGGAGATAAAGAAACTCATTAAATCCTTGATGATGAGAAGCTAGGATACCTTCCTAGGTTTTTCACTCTTTTATTCCAAAATCAGAACACTGACTCCCCATCAGGATATATTTCTCTTCTGGTTTCCCTCTCAGAAAGGGGCCAACAACAGAATAGTGGTGAGTGGACCATTTAGAAATTGATGCGATGACTTATGATTTATGAGAGCTAAGTAATAACTGTCTGCACAACCACTCACAATTCAAATAAAATTTACTTTCACGTGGCAGAACTGAGGTAAAGGAGAATTCCGTTCATAACCTTCCTATAAAACCAGGCCAATTCTCCTGTAGTTCTTGGCAAAGACATTTTTGATTAGCACGAGCATTTTCTGGCTGAAAATGGATAGCTCAGTGGGAATTTGTTATAACTCAAGTGACAAGGTGACAGCACCACCCCCTAATTTTCAGAATAAATACGGGTGCAGCTACAGGTTATTTTTACATCTCCATTAATAAATGTTCTATTTTACAAGTGGTTTGGAAATCTGAAATTGGATTCAAGCCAGGCATTTTAAATCAGCAGTCGGAATTAGAATTAAAGTGAGTCTGAATTAGAATTAAAGTGAAGTCAAATCATTTGCTTCCACTGAGCTGAATATCAGTAAGATTATAGATTAGGTATTTGACGAGCAATTTCATTTGAATGACTGGCTCCTAAAGATCTTATGTGCCTCTGTTTTAAGAGTTATATTTTGAAAGCATACATTCATTTAAATTAAAAAATAGTAGAGAAAGTCATACCTAGTAGTTCAACTTTAAAAGAATGTGTCTGAAAAATCTTAGAACAAGGCTAACTCACTCTTCACTATAATCAGTGTTCAGTGATCAGTATACATAAGCTGACTGCATATTTCCTCACAACAACTGCTGTGTAGTTATTGAAGGGTGTTATATAGGCTTCTTAAAATAAGATGCAAGTGTTAGAAAGGTAATCCCTAAGAATAAAAATCAAGATAACTAACAAGGCATTTAAGAGACTCATTGAACTGAATGCAAAATGTAATCACCTAATAGCAGACTAATTGAAACAATAGGAGTTGAAAGAAATCTATCTGATTACAATATGGTCATGTGTGAATAAAACTGATTTTGTCAGTATTACAACGCTTATGCTCTCACATTTAAATTTCACAGAGTGGAATAATATTTCATTGGATGTAATTAAGGTGCTTGTCATTTTAATTGATCCCGGTAGATAATTTACTGATATCTGTTCACAGTGTGTATTACTAATTCTTACCGCTTTTTCATCTTTACATCTGTTATCTATTAATGCTCACAGGCGTAGGAGTATATTTGCTTTCTTAACCCTGCTACCCTCCTGTCTTTGGACTGATTATCTTTTGGCATTTTATATTAATCCTTGGTAAGTGATCTTTTTTGGTTTTTACTCTTTACCTAACACAGACTCTAAAAGTTAGCTTTTAAGTAGTGAAAACGAAACAAAAAAGAAACTCTTTTTAACTATGTTTTTACCATCTACAATTATTAATCACATATTAGTATTAAAATGGATTGGAGAAGTTGATGGTACCAAGATGCTAACTATAATGTTTTCCAAATTAGATTTTCTTCTTGTGATGTTCTTGCCAAGTCTTTCTTCCACCTCTCAGCTGTCATTTGTTTCTTCGTTGAGTCAGCCATGGACCTTCACCACCATCAAGGCCTCCATCAATTAGACAACTTAGATTTCTAAGAAGGCAGATCTGTATTTAGGTCAAAAAATCCAGACAACTCTCCTCTGTGCTTGGGGCTTCATGTTTTCCTGATAATGCTACTCAATGAATATTGAACAACTTACTATGTGGAAAGTTCTTTGCATAATGATCTGATTTAGCTCGTTCTGCAAATCTGCATCTAGAGATCCATTTCTCTTCCTGAGCCTCAGGAATTAAAAAATGTCAGAGCTTCCTGGAGATCTGACAAAGAAATCATTGTCTCTAAATATTGATCCATGATATTTAACTACTAAATGATGTACAAAAATGTGAATTTCCCTACAGAAGACAAATAATGAAAAGCAAACTGGAGAGTTATTTATCCGACAAGAAAATTGAGGAACTGTTCTTTAGCACCTTCAAGGTCAGAATAAATACACAAGAAAGAAAGCAAACTCACTTCCCTCCAGTCCTTGCCGATTCCGACTCGCAGTGACCCTGTAAGGCAGAGACCAGCCCCTGAGGGGCCGAGACTGTCACTCTTCACAGGAGTAGAACGCCCTTGTTCTCCTGTGGGGTGGCTGGTGGTCTCAAACTGTTGACCTTGCAGTTAGCAGCCCAACACGGAACCACTACACCACCATGACTTTACTGTTTCACTGTAAAAATTAAAGACAAAGAGCTCACCGACAACTAGTCCATTCTGACTGACGGTGCCCCTTGAAGTCAGAGTGCACTGTTCGTCTGGGTTTCTGAGGCTGTGAAACTTCACGGGAGGAGAAGCCTCTTTTTCTCCCATGGAGCAGCAAGTGGGTTCCATCCGCTGACCTGGCAGTTAGTAGCCCAGTGCTAACCCACTGACCTGCCAGTCTTCACCGCAGTCTACTCCAGAGTTTCAATATTTGACCTCAGAGAGTTCTCAGACTAAGTCGTTCACATAAATTCCATTTGACCTTCATTTATTTTTAACTTGGCATTTACTAATAATAATGCCTAAGTATTCTACCTATTATTGGCATCTCAGCAACAAAACCCCTCAAAATACCTTCCACAGTTTGCAATTAATTTGCAGGGTGGGATTTTCAGCTTAGATCAAGTGATTTCGTGCATATTTGAGTGTCTGATGAACCCAGCTTCCCACTTCGCCACCGCTTTTTGGTCTTCGATTTGAGTACCACTCTAATAGCTTGAGATTCCAAGTTAGGGGAACCTCTTCAGGAGAGTTTTGGAATCAGACTGTGACTCTCAGTGCTTATCTTAATATGAGCCGACACACGCTTGAGCCCCAAGCTTTCCACCACTTTCCCTGAACTTCCCACATCCCACCCAATGAGAATACCTTGACCTTAAACTGTCTTTTCAGCCCGAGGCTAGTACACAAGAGGTAAAAGATGTAGTCCCTAGTCCTTCCAGCATCAGGTATTGGTGGTTTCTGGAGCAGAAGTCTCTCCTTGCATGTGGGAGACCCAGGTTAGCCTCCTATCCAGTGCCTGTCGTGTGCAGGCCCTCGTCAGTCAATGTGTGCACTGCCCGGATAGCGCACAAGTTTTAGCGGAGCTTCTAGTCCAGATGGACAGGGGCAAGGGCCTGGAAATCTCCTTCCAAAAACCAGCTAAGGAACCGCTCTGAATCCCCATGAGCCCCCAAAGAATTCCCAGTCAATCCTGGGCACGGGCTCTGTCCCTTTCCATTGCACACGGAGTCTTCAGGAGGCAGGGTGACTCAAAGGCAGCTAACAGTATCCCCTCCAAATGCAGCTCAGTATCCACACCGGCACTGAACTGTCTTGTTTGCTACCTCCTCTCTTCAACTGACAGCATCTGAGTATTTTGCCCGGTTCGATTTGCTAAATAGTCATGTTTCCTCCTCATCGTCATATTTCACCTAACCAGCTAACAAGAAAACACAGCTCACGCCGATTCCTTACACACTCTATTTCCTCTACAAATTGTGTCCTGCAGAACTTTGTGCCTGTTGATTTCTAACGTCCCCTAGTTGCTTCTAGTGTTTATGTGGAAATCAAGAGTTTCTCTCTCTCTCTCCCCCTCTCCTCCACACCCCCACCCTCCTAGCATTGCCCGAATCTTTTCCTGGGGTGGTAGCAGGATCTGTGTGGAGCACCACTGCCCAGTTAGGTTCGTTTCAGAATCGCATTCTGCAAGGATGTCTGCCTTTAATGACCTTCGATTGTGCTTCCCGTACAACGCGGTCTCATTTGAACTAGAATTCACTAGGTTCCATGTTATTAACCTCTTCATTTACCACCCTAGCCACCCTCATGCTTCACGCAATTGTTCCTCTGCCTGTTCTAAATCCTCAGTAGTTGACACTGTAAGCATGAAGCAACATTTAGAGCAAATGCTCAGCTTTGTTCATGATAAGTGCATGTGCTATTTGAAGAATGATTTAACCCCTAAAGATCTCTGTAAGATTTAGGGATGGTTACCATTCAGCTCATGAAGGAGTAAGTAGCACTTGTGGAAATAGGGGGTTGGGAGTTTTGTTGGTGTTTGAAACTGTTAAAAAGCCCATGCCTCTGCCATTGCCTCGTGGTAAGACTCCTGTTAGCTAAAAGAGACAACAAAAGTGCATTTTAACTTCCTTAAGTCAATTGGGCTTTGAGCTCTAGCTAATATAAGTTAAAAAAAAGGAAGACCAAAGGACGTGCATGATCCTATATGCATATATGCTGTCTGTCTGATGGGTGCTGTTTGTCCATTGTCCAGAAAAATGCTGCCAATGAATAGGTGATGCCCTAAGCTTCGCCCAAATGTCACTGTAACATGCACATGCACCAGCTCTTTCTATAACATGCTGAAGTTGAAACTGCTAGCAATGTCTTAGCTTACAGGTGACAAGTGACTTTTCTTTCACATTGGTCGGAGAATTAGCACAGCAATTGGACAGGTGGGAAAAGTCTATCACTGTCACTCCAATTCAGTCTCTTCATGTTCCCTCACACCCTCTGGATACAAAAATCCTTCAGATATCAGGAATTCAGCTCACCCTACGCAGAACAATGAGAGGAGTGTACAAACCATAAAGAACGACCTTATGACAATGTATTAGTCTGGGTACTTTAGAGAAACAAATCCACAGAAACTCATGTATAAGAGAGAGTTTTATATAAAGGGTGAGTGCACACCAAGAACACATCCCAACCCAGTGCTGCCCAAGCCCACAAGACCAACAGTAACCCATATGTCTGACACCAATCCACAAAGTCTTCCTCCATCTCACAAAACACACACAATGACGCCGACTGCAGGAGCAAAGCTGAATCAGTGAACAGTGTAAAGCATCTCAGTGCTGGCAGATGTCTTGCAGGTAGCGAGCCTTGCCAGCTGAAGCAGGGAACTTGCTAAGGCAGCTGCACCCTGGTCCAACCATCACAAAGCAAGAGACCAGAGAACTCAAAAGGCGAGGTTCACCGAGCCATTTATCCCTCCGCTCTCCAATTAATCCCACTTGTGTTTATCGGCCAGGTTGGCACAATAAACTTTAACTATCTCAGACAATAAGGATAGAGCAATGCCATACAAACCATGGAAGAACATTATTTTATATTTAAAGTTCATTTATGGTGGATCAGATGGAAAGGGAAAAAAAAGTGTCTTTCCTCCATGAATCAGGCTTCTTCACAGCACTTGAAGAGTAGCAGCTTTCGTATTCCAGCACTGAATGTATTCAGTGTTGCCACCACGCAGACGTCTGTTTCTTCCCAGTCTCCCTGAAAGCCTGTTTGGATAGGAAAGTTGGGCTTGTAGGGGGTTTTTGTTTGGTTTTTTCACTTTCAATAGCAAAATATGTTGGCAGCCTCCCGACTTTACCAGAGCTGTTAGGTAGCTATGCTTCCAGGCTGCTTTCATAAAGGCAGTACTATGCATATTGGCTTTTACAAAACAAATTAAATACAGGATTCCTAAAGTTTACTGAATCCACATCTCAAGGGCTGATTAAAAAAAGATACATATTTTTTTCTCCGATGCTTGTATACAACTGTTTACATTTAAGTGCTTTTATTTTTTTAAGTGTATTTTACTGGGGGAGGGGACAGGGATGAGGGTTAAAAACTTGAATGCCTATTTTCTCTAATTTTAAGCACGTAAGACAAGAGGACAGGACAGAACATTTTTAAAGGGAGATGGGGGAGTGAGAGTAACTATTAAATAGACGGTCTTCATACAGAAGTGAGAAGAGATGAAAACCAGAAATTCCACCTTCTTTGAGGGATATTTTCTGCATCACTTTCTTTCCATCCACAAGTCCTACTTTTTCCCACGGGCTTCACAAGCCCTGCAATCAAATTCTTCATTGAATCATTAAGTGAAATAATGAGGGCCTTTCTTTGCCCCCTCAATTCAATAAGCATTAAAAGACCACCCTCTGTGCATCCCATTAACTATACCCAGCCTTGGGCTGAGAGTGGGGAAGCACCATCTAGCAAGGGGCATGTGTGTAAGTGACAAAAATACCATAGGAGAAATACTCCATTGACAAAGGCCTCTGAAGTGTAAGAGAAGCTTCATTCTGACCAAGGTTCTCAGGAAGTAGATGTACACAGACAGTCCTACTTTTAAACATAAATCAAAACTAATATTTTGCTTCATGTAAGTACTCAGATTACAATTTGTTATTTGCTATAAGCTTTTACTTTCTGAAAGTTTGGGTGATCCTATTCAGACATTTTTAAATGTTTAAAAGTTGTTTCTGAAGAATTGCTTACTATCATATCACTCAAACTCAATTTGGTATCAATCTTTATTATTTACCTAATTACAATTAAAATACACTCAATGATGAAATGTTTCAGAGGATGCTATCTTCACGTTACCTAACTTGGGTCAGTTTTGTTACTTTTTGATTAAAACTCAAAGCCCAAACCCACTGCCACTCAGTTGATTTCAACTCATAGTGAACCTCTATAGAGTTTCCAAGACTATAAATTATTTCCAATTAGGTAGGAACAATTTCATCATAAAAATGGCACAAGATACATTTCAACACTGATAGCACAGTTTCACATCCCTCTGCCATAATGTCAAGAAATATTATTTTAGTCTTTAATTAAGAGAAAATATATCCACTCTCCCACCATTAGCTCTTCCTTAGGCTTTCCCTCTCCTTCCCCCTCCCTCCTTTTGCCTGTACAATCTGGGGTTTGTAGGCACTCACTGTTTTTATACATTTACAAAACATGTTAGCAATTTAGAATCTCTAGAACTCAGAGTTTTTAATATATATGAAATATAAAGTATAGATATGTTCCCTGTAATCTAGTAGAAGTTTAAAAATGAATCTGAAGTTATTATCATTACCGTCTCATTTAAGGAAAAGTAATTAAACAAATCTAAGGTATAGTCAATGAAAATTAAATAAAATTGAGGTTTCTGATGTAACTATTTAAAGCTCCTTAGTTTTAATTGCTATGTTAATCAAATTTTTTTTCGCTCTGATGAATTTGTCTTTCTTTTTCTTTTAAAAAAATCTCAGGAGTAAAAATGGCTTAAAGAAGAGGAAACTGACCAAGTAAGTTCCACTTGCAAGATCATTTCGTAAAGTATTCTCACTCATAATGCTCCTGTCTTTCCAAAATCAAAAGGCTGTGCTCCCTAATTGAAAGGATGCTTAAGGAAGAGGCAAGTGTACGTTTCCATAGCGAGGCACAGTGCAAGTTAGAACTGTTAGACAGTGAAGAAGAAGAATGTGCATCACAGAAAGCAGGAGGCAATCAAAGCACAAATAGTTGCTAGGGATTATAGTCACCTTGCAAGAGATTTCAAAACCTATGAAAATTTACCATCGATGTACAAAAACCTTTGCCGCCTTGGACTTTATAGCGAGCTACTTATTGCAGGAAGAAAAAAGCTTCTATTTCATTGGATGTTACAACAAATGCTGTGAGAAATGGTGGCTCAGGGAATCCTTTGAAGAAATAGACAAAGATAATTACTCTAGATAGCCTGTGGTTTTATATCTATTGAATTGTGAAATCATAAGAATTATGATTCTGGCAGGTGAAAATTAACCATCAGTTGATTTCAAAAGGCTAATTAGTTTATCACCTCCAGGCCTTTTCTTAGTTAAACTCTACATGTAAACAGTAGAACGCTTATATGAATGGAGCTCATTCTTGATACTTGCTTAGGAGACAATGTTGATGAATTAATGTAAGGAGGCAATTAGGGACTCCCGCCACAGCTGTGCTCGCCATGCTGAATGGAGAAAAGCCATAGCATGTGTAATCAAAAGAAGAATGGTGCCAAATATAGTTCTGCTTTGCCTTGGTTGGTACATCGTTTTATGGCACACATAAATAACATAATTAGGTTTTTTCCTAAATCCATTTTTTAATCACCATGTCCTCCATTGCTGTGCCCAAAGTGATGTGGAGACAAGTAAGCAGACACGAAGCCAGTCTAAACAGAAGAGATGCTGTCCACCTGCACACGAACACAAGACAGAAACAGAGAGATGTTCTTGCTCAGAGCTGTTGGTTGAAGTTGCTCAATGAGCTAAAGGTATAGAGTCGATTGCTTGAAGGACAGGTTTTCAGGACAAAAAAGGGGGGCCCTTATCAACATGTGGTCCTCACAAGACCAAGGAAGAGAGAAGCAGCAGCAATACCTGAGCAAAGGTTTTGGTCGAATCTGGAAGGAGTCAGGCCTGCCCACAACCCAGCAACCTGTGATCCCTTCAACTCTCTCCTCTTCCTGTTTCCCCATGACTCCCCCACTCTAAACGCCATTACCTTGCCTTTTCCTCTCCATTCTTTCTACCCTTTCTCTTTGACTCCATCACCTCACACCACCACTCCTTTTCTATCAATACTTGTCTTCATTCCACTGTTCCTTGGCTGCATCCTTCTTTTCCCCCAGAGTTTCAAACCAGGTCTTCCTGATTCATTCATGGCCAGCAACCGGAAACCAGAAGAGAACCCCAACTTTTAAAATGTGGGTATACCAGAATAATTGGAATAGGAAAAAGTACAGGTCAACACCCTCCTAGAAATGTGACCTCTCTCTTAGAACACAGGGTCCGTTGACACGTTGCAGAGCCATCTGCGTTCTTGAGTTGTGGCAGTCAGAAACAACAGTGCCCAGGTCAAAGACAGGGGCCAATGGCATCACGTTCTGTGTCTTGCTCTTCTTCACAGTCCTGACAACCACCCCGTCTCCTGTATCAGCCTCGTGAAAGGACTTATGACCCCTTTTTCTAGTCGTTCACTCCATGACTTTGACCCACAAACTTTCCCATTCCAGTTATGATTCCAGTGCACCTACCTACAAGGGGCTTCCAAAAGTTCACGGAAAAATAGAACTGAAAGGTAATGGAATTGTCCACAAAGTTTCCAAAGCCCTCCTGAATTACAAAATCAGGTTGGTTCTGACTTCTCCGTGTCATTCATGATGGAACTGGTTTGAAACCACTCAAAACCCTGTTTTTCTTTTTGTTTGTTTTAATCATTTTATTAGGGGCTCATACAACTCTTATCACCATCCATCCATACATCGGTGGTGTAAAGTGCATGTGTCCATTCATTGCCCAGCCCTGTTTTTCTTGCTTCCCTTTAAACAAGTCTGTGTCCACTGGTCTCTGCCCCTCCCAGCTTCCTTTCTTTCCTTCCTTCACTTCTTCCTGTCCCTCCATTCGATTTACATTTCTACTTCCTGAGCATTCTTCAGGGTCTTTTTCCCTGCTCTCTGGCTTTGCCTAAGTCTTCAATGTTTCCTCGAATTATCCTTCTCTATTGATGTTTCCATAATCCCAATCATGAGATGAAATCAGAATTGTTAAATCCAATTGGAAGGCAGTGATCTGCTCAGAGAGCATCAGGGAGTACAGCCCTCATGAAGTTTGCTCCAGGACCACAGCCTTCCTCCCGTCATTCTTTACGGGATTGGCAAGTCTGAATGGGAAAAGCTTGAAACCAGGAATCACTTTTCTTCTGTGTTCTCATCAGGCTCCGCCACTGACTAGCCACGTAGTCTTGAATTACTGAACTGTGTAGTCTCGACTTTCTCTCCAGAGCATGGGCTGAAGTTGCCCAGGTCTATCTCAAAATATAGCCAAGCAAGATGGCACATCAAACTATTTGTTAACTATGGAGTGTATATGGCTGGAGAGCATTATGGTAAAGTAAAAGTAATAAAGTATAAATGCATTATCTGGAGTGTAGAGTGCCCATTAAAATCTAGTAAACCTTAGTATAAATTAATCAATGACATTAGTTCATTGAAAACTTTCGCTGAAGAAAATGTTTTGGAAATGTTGTTGGCAACACATGTACAAGTGCGCCTCATACAAATGAATGATGATGGATTGTCATAAGATTTTTAAGAGCCCCCCCAATAAAATGACTATTTAAAATAAATATTTAAAAAGTATTTACATAAAAAAGAAAACATTCACTGAATGTCTTTTAAATGCTATACAGTTACTAATAAAATATGAGACACCAAATAGATGTTATAAGTGGAGTAACATGCAGCAAAAATGAAGGGAAAAGTCAAGGATTTGGGCCTTGCCACGGGGCACAGTCTTGGATGAAAGATAAAGCAGGTCACTTTGCAGAAGCAGAGAGCAGCTTGCGGGTGAGAGGGGCGATATAAGTAGATGCTAAATGGAATAAGCAGCTACAGAAAACTATGAAAAATAAAGCTTAATGCTGATTCACCCCAAAAGCAACAACAAAGAACGTGTACCGCAGACACAAAAACATAAACTTGAATGTTTTCCCTGAATGTGGCTCTGGACCATGTCTAACCTTCCATGAACATGTACTTTCCTAGAATGAGCCAAGGGGGACTTTCTGGACAAGTGCCTCACCTCCCAACCTTCCTGTGCTCTGGGGAGATAGTGGAGGTGGTGCAAACCTTCGTACTTGTAAAACCAGTTGCATGTACAAGTTTCTTTATTACACTTCATCCCAACCTAGTATGATAGGGGTGAATGTAATGTTTTATAGATGAGAACATTTACTCTCAGAAGAATTAAGATCCCACAAAAAATAGGTGGTAAAACAATTCTAGCAGGTCTTCAAACTCTAAACCTTCATTTCTTTTCATATATCAGTGCTTTCTAGAGAAATAACGCATATGTTTATATGAGTCTTTACTCTTATTAGAAACTAGAGATTTCACCTATCTCAAGAAGGTTTGGTATAGAAGTCCCTCTTTAAAAATCCAATATTTAGGGACTGATAACTTTAGTCAAAGGGGGATGGGTGGAGGAGTGAAATCCAAAAAATTCATTCCTGCTTGAGACTCGCCTTCATGCAGGAAACACAGAATGTATGGTGCTGTAGAAAAGTGTGGCGAAGAAACTAGATGGTGCCCAGCTCTCAGATAGAGTAGCATCTGGAATCTTAAAAGCTTGTTTCCAAACAAGCAGCCATCTAACTGAGATGTCAACTAACCACACATGTAAGAAGCATGCAAATGTCTGCCATCCAAAGATAGTAAATTATATAATCCAAATGCAAAGGAGGAAATAATATAGGACCTTAAATTGTGATATTCTGATGTGTAGAAGGCTATGAACGACATTGAAAGCCCAAAAGACATTTGCAGGACCGACACAGGGAATACGTCTGTGGTGATTTCCCTGGAGCCATCATTGAGGCATGGAAATAACCTGGTCATCAGAGAGGATTGGAGAGATGACAATAGTAGATTAAAATGATAAATCGGACTCGAATGGTTAAAACTTTGTCATTTGATCGCCCCTCTGATACATTTTGGGCTGATCTGGTTTTTAATATTTTCTGTGGTGTGTGTGTGTGTGTGTGTGTGTGTGAGACTCATATTGGGGTTTATCTCTGTCACATTTTGTCACCGTGGGTAGCCTTCTTGAATCATTAGCATGTGTTTTCTACGTTTTTTCAGTGTATGAAACCCAGGATAGATGACTCTATAGAGATAACTAGAATAAGCATTCTTGGGGAGTACAGTCGGGGAAGGAGTTAAGGGGGAGCTGATATCAAGGAATTCAAGATGGAAGAAAATGTTTTGAAACTGATTTGGTAGCAATTGTACACTACTGCTTGATGTGACTGAGCTATGGATGGTATGATGTCTGGATTAGCTCCTACTAAAATAATGTGGACAAAGAAAAAGTTGAGGGCAAGAGTGAATGCTAGAATTTTAGTGGTAACGCTTCTATTTTCTCTAAGAAAAGTGATGCTAATTTGAGAAGTATGGTGCTAAACATTATATAACATGTATCAACAGTATTTTTAAACCATGCATTTTGTGTGTGTGTGTCTGTGTGTCTGGTGAAGCCCGGTTCAGCTGGATGACTTTGATGCCTACATCAAGGATATGGCCAAAGACTCGGACTATAAATTTTCTCTTCAATTCGAGGTGAGTGGTTAAAGTATTTCCCACCTTCTGCAATGGATGGGGCTTGGCAACTGTCAAGTGTCTACAGAATCATCCACTCTTTGCTTGGCAGTATCTGTGGCATTGTTGCACAATCAGCAGAGTGAGGATAAGATGTGGGTTCAGAGTGAGGGTGGTCAGTGCTTGGTTGGGGGTCAGTTTGGATGGTGTGCCTGCAGAGAATGAGAACATCGACTTAAGGCTTCTGGAGAGCAAACACGGGTAGGTGCAGGGGAAGCTGCACTGCAAACCAGCGAACTGGGGAGTGCAGGGAGAAGTGAGGCCAGGACCTGAAATAAAAGTTTACTGTCAGAAGATTTTTGTTTGTTTCCCATGTCATTTAGGCCACGTGTGGGGGAGTGAGGGATGAGATGGGCTCTATTTTCTCCTGGGCAGAGAGGAGCTTCGAGCGGGCCATCAGAGCTGGGGCATACTGACTGTTCGACTTACTATTTCCTGGGGAGGTTTGCTTTCGATTCCTCTTCGAGAGATTGGGAAGATAGAGTGTCGCATGGTTCATGGAGGGATAAGTCACGTGGCCAATGCTTCCTGTTTCCGCAGCATGTAGACTTCAAAGTGTGGCTGAGTCAATGGACGTGCATAAGTCCAGGAGCTCTGGAGTGTGCAGAATATGAGTGGGTCTCCCCTTTCCTCCACCGGCTTGTCTTCCACACTCGCCGTGCAGCTGGGATGGCCACAGGCCCTCTTGGTTCTCTAGCAGCTCATGCACTCAGCATTTCTGGGAAAAGGGGCGACTGCCGTGCTTGTTCTGAATACCGGGAGGCTTTATTGTCAGTCTCCTGAGTGGGCTTCAACAGAGCAGCGTCTGGGAGGGTGTGTGGGAGCGCAATGTCCTGTTGTACCGAGCGTCACTATGAGTCAGCACAGACTGCACGTCACCTACCAAAAGTGCTCCTCTCCGTGAAACACCAAGTTGTAATTAAAAAAAGAGCTGTTTTCCCTTCATTCTGCTTATTTATTTATCTCTGCTTTCTCACTGTGGTTGAAGGTCAGCTTTGGTAGCTACTTCTTAGCCAGGGTGGATAGTCCAACAGGAAATTTGAACATGAGAAGTTTCTCATAAGTTATCAAATACCATGCCCCTAACTGCCACCAAATGTCAAAATGTCGTGGAACATTCTACACAGGGCCAGGCTCTGGTTGCATAGACATCTATAAACACCATACTAAATGCCACACGCGGAGGACACTGGGATTTTCAGTACCATTTTGCTACTAGATGATATTGAAAAAATCTCAGGTCTCTATCCTTCGTTGCTCCATCTATAAAATGGGTGTTATTGATGTTAGGGACCATCAGGTGGGTTCGGATGCATTGAGAACCCAAGCAGAACAGAGCACGACAGTGCTGCCCCTGTGCCACCCTCACTATTGTTCTGTTGGAGCCCAGGGTTGCAGGCACTGTGTGAAGCCATCCCATTGAGGGTTTTCCTATTTGGGGCTGACCCTCTTTTTGACCAGGAAAACCAGCCAGTGGTAAAAAAGAGACAACTTTATTCCAGAAAGGATCCAGAGAGAAAGCCTTCCGGTGGAAGTGGCACTCTGCATTTGGGCTTTGGGTTTCCCGAACAGAGAAAACACATTTCTGTTGACTGAAGCCACCTACTTGTGGTACCCAGGTTACCACAGCACAAGAGGACAACGCCTGGATTAGGTACCGAGAACTGAAAGTACTGCTCTAGATACCTGTGATGAGAAAGTGGTTTCAGGATTGGGTACTACGTGAGCCGAGAAGATCCTTAGAGTGCCTTACCATGAAAGTCCAGGTTGCCTTGAAAGACCGTTGGCAGAATTCTGGTTGTCAAAGGCCATGCTGATGCGTGTTCAGACAGGAGTGGGGAGAGCTATCCAGAAAGTCTCAGTAAGCTCAGAGAGCACATTTGGTGACGGCCACAGAAATGTTAGAAATGTACACATTAAATGTGCTTTGGCTGAGACTTTAATAGGAAATGAAGAACCTGTGCTTGCACAATGGAGGAAGAATGATGCTTTTGATGCAGCGGCAATGAACTTTGTGAAGTATGTGCACGTGCAGAAGGTAGAATTTCTCAATAATGAATTTGGATACCTGGCTAATGAGATTTCTTAGCAAGATCTTAAAGGAGCTCTGTGGTCTTGTCAGAGGAAGACGATGGCATGAAGCATGAACTGTGCATACCCTAAAACTATTGCTGTGGGGTCATCTTTAATCCTTTCACCCAAAATGTTCCCGGAGGTGTCTTAAAACCAAGCAAATAACAGTTTAGATTACCAAGTTAAAAAAAAGTCTGTTTTGAGCACTATGCTCTTTTAAGAACTATCTATAGAGGATTGCATTCACAACAGCGTCTGATAGGAACAGGAGAGGCAGAGTTTATGTGTAGGAGGGAGAACAACTCCGCAAAGGTGAGTGAGAATGGTTGCACGAGTCACAGACTGCAATCAACGTCACTAAACCTTCCATGGAGACACTGTTAAATGTGGGGGAGGGTGGGGGGTTGCTCTGTATATTCTTCACAAGAATAAGATAAAAGTTAAAGAATAAAGGGAATTTGTTTTGCTATATATATGAAATAGAAAATATGCAACATTTCATAAGTGAACTGTAGAAAACGAACACAGAATTGGGAAGACTCTGTTGTACAAATGAAGGACGTGTCCTCCCATGTTGACCAAAGACACAGCGGTGCAATCTTTCTGGAAAGCAGTTAAGCCTCTGACCGATCAGACTAATCAACTGCCGTAGCAGAAAACCCATCAGCTTAGACTGTAGACTGAAGGTGGCAAAGAAAGAAGAGAGGTCACTGCCTGCCTCTTAGAATTCTACAAGCCAAAAATGGGCCAAGGAATTATACCTGTTGTCCTCCAAGAAGAGAAAAGAATCCTTTCTAGAGCCGCTTGGAGTGGGCAGGACTCCTGGAGTGCGCTTAGGAAGCAGGGCCTTCTCCATTTCAAGTATTAGGGCCACTGACTCAGGCACTCAAAGAGTCGGACCCAAGCCTCCTAGGTGCCAAGAGTTGCATCTTCATGCACCCAGTTTTAGAGTGTGCAACTACCCTTAAGATGTCCCAGTGCACCGGACGACTGCCCCAAACTGAGCAATGGGGTTGCTAAGCCCAGGGAACAGAAGAATGCGCTTACTTGGGGTCTGGACAATAGGGTCACGACTCCGATGGACCGGAAGAAGGAAGCCTCCTGAAGGTGAGGGAGCAGCGTTGTCCTTCCAGAGGGCCGCGAAGATGCCCCGATGGCTTCTGAGACCAGAGGATTATGATCAGGGCTGAGAGCTAATGCAAATTGTCCTGCCAGAATGTGGACTTGATTGATGTTGCCGTCCCATCTTTCTCTCTCATTTCTCCCATTTGTCACAGAAATATCTGCTTTGTGCCTGAAAGCAGATAACTTGTAGTCTAGATTTCACAGGTTCACAGATGAAGAATTTTGCTCCCAGATGGAACATGCCTGAAGTCAAATCCATATTTGATTGAGATATTTCAGATGAGGAGATTTGGGACCTGGGGTTGATTGAAGATTGTTACAATGATGCGATGGGGTGAACGCATGATGCAGGTGGCAAAGATATAAATGTGGGAGCCAAAGGTTAAAACACTACGGATTGAAGTATATAGACCCCCCCCCCCCAAAAAAAAGAGCAGTAAATCCTTACCGCTGTACTTGTGATTAGGGAACCTTGCTTGTTTACTGATTAACTAATGGGCTGCTAACCACAAGGTCAGCAGTTCAAAACCACCATGTGCCCTGTGTGAAAACACAAGGCGTTCTACTCCCATAAAGAGTTATGGTCTTGGAAACCCACTGGGGCAGTTCTACCCTGTCCTACAGGCTCACTAGAGTCGAAAAGGACTTGATGGCAATGACTTTGAGTTTTCTACCAATGATTATCATCTCATTTGGGAATGGGTCATTTTTGTTATGTTAATAAACAAGATTAATACAGGATATCTTGAATCAATCTCTTTTGAGATATAAAAGAGATTAAACAAGCACCCCAGGGGGTGGGGGCACCAGAGAAATGTCAAGAGCAGAAGTTAAAAAAGAAAAACACTTTCCTCCAGACCTGAGCTAGACAGTTTCCCTTAGATCTGACACTCTGAACTCTGGCTTCTAGCCTGACTTCTAATTCTGAGAAAATACAGTTCTGTTTGTAAAGATCACTATTTGTGGCACTTCTTTTATAGCAGCACTACATAGCTAAGACACCTGGTTTAGCTAAGTCAACAGCACAACGGTTATTTGTTCTGTTTCTTAAGGTTTAGGATTTGTATTCACTTTGATACTGACCTTGAATGATTATGCTCACATTGAGAAACTGTATCATTTATAAGCATTCTGCAAATTGAGATGAATGTCTTAATTTACATATATTACCAATGCAGCTATAAGTCATACATGAAGCTATATGAGCTGCTAATTTGCATTCACTGAATAAATTCCTTTTTCACTCTGCATCTGATTTTGAAGCTGTTGAAAAGATTTATTATCCTTCTAATAAAAACACACATGTTTTCTTAAGTTAGTTTGCAACTCGAAATTAGCTTTGAGTCCTCATGTCTTAAGTTTCTTATATGGAAGGCTTGAAGAACCAGACTTTAAGAATAGAATTTGAGAGCCCATGGGTCATACTACATAGTGCTCATTGTTCTATTAACCTCTGTCCTTAGTGTTCAGGATGCTAGTAAATGCCTTCATATCTCTGGTCAGAAGTATAGTTAAACGATAGCACTTGGCAGCGCGTTCACAAGACGGCCCGGGATTTCTGGAAGTATCCGACATTCGAAGCTGTTTTCACTTGTGGTTTAGTCCAATCCACTAGAGACCAAACAGCAGTCCAACTTGAACATCAGCACCCTCTTAATGACACACCCCAGGCTACCTTGGCCATGCAGTCCGTTCTAAAGTCCCTCCCTCCACACACCCTGATCTTGATATAAGATGGGAAATATTTTAAGCCCTTCAATTTATCTCAGTGGTTTGGGTAAGTCAACCTCCTCCACCAGGTTTTACACCGGAGGTCTTAGTTTGTTCCTATGCCTACATTTTCTCTCCTTCCATTCATTTCCCAGGTGCCTGGACGAGTCATTTGTCATGTGACTACAGTACATTCCTAACCCCCCTCCCAGTGTCCATTGCTAGACTTTCCAGAAACCAACTTTCTTCTGATTTAGTCTTCTACTGCCCGCTCAGAGGCCCATGATCAGCATACCAATACTTTCTTCAGGGCCTATCACGAGCTAGCTCGTTCTAAATCCTCTTGTCCTTCTGCTGTGTCACCCAGTTCCATTGGACATTCACTTGCCCAGGAATGAAGCTGCCCTATCCACACCACCTCTGCTCACCTCCTCTTTCCTCATCGGACAAGTAGTCCAGGGTTAGACAGGTTCATCTTTCTCTAACTTGCCCTCCACCCCACCCCACCCCGCTGCCAGCCAGCACCACACAGCCTGCCAGTGGGCTTGGGTGACTGCTTGCTCCAGAAAACAAAACGGAGAATCAATTATTTTCTAAAAAAAGAAAGGAAAGAAAACGCAAACATGATTTATGTTGGTTTCAGGCTCTCGCCACACATGTTGCCTTCATGCCTTCAGATTAGGCCTCTGGAGTTTCCATATGGTTGGAAAGAAAATAAGCCCAAAGCTACTGGACTGGAAACTTCATGCTTGATCTTCCACTAGTGACAGGCTAAATTACAAAAGATTGCAAAGTGTTTTGTATATACGTGCACTTCCTGCTTTGCTGCAATTCAACTTTGGCAATTTACATTTTACAGTGCTCGGCAAATTAAACCTCTCTTATCAATTGAGGTTATTTACAGGAGGGAGGCAGCACACAATTAAAGTTCTCTCGGTTAGTCAGTTTCCATATGTGCTCCAAAGCTCACCCTCCATCTGTCTCCACCATTATCCTTTACCCGCGGTTTATCGCTCTGTACCCACCCGTAGCAGGAGTGGGGGGTGGGCGTGGGGGTGGGGGCGGCGTTGGAGCTGGAGGCAGGGGAGTTGGGCTATTGAAGTAAACAGCATAGGAAGGAGCAGTTAGAGAGCCAGGCTCAGCAAACGGCCCCCCTTCATCTTCTACCTGATCATAGCAGAAATAGCTTCACCATCATGAGCCATCCCGATGCGTTAATATTCGCTCGGAGTTGGCTTTGACGCCGTGGCAGTGAGTGTAATTTTGTTGGTTTGTGAGGCGGAGAGGTGTGCCTGTATTATTAGGCTGATTTCACAGATAATTAACTTGATGCCAGACAGTAAATTGATTTGCCCAAGACCACACAGCCTATATGTAATACACCAATATAGGCCGGATGTTTTGATAAGTTGTTCATACAGGCCCTTTCCTACGATGTCTAAAGTATTTTAAGCAACAAAAGTATCATCTAAGTAAGTTTCCCACTGAAAAAAGAAGCTAACAAAGTCACACTGATTTGGCTTCAAGTTATTAAAAATCAGTTTTGCTTCTTACAAAAACAAGACTGTCAGCCTTTAAAGCCATTTTTGAATGGATCTAACAGTAGCAGCCGTCTCTTTTAAGAGCGGACAACTAACGGGTTAAGCTGAGAAGGGAGAACTGCTATGTTGTGAACTGAGGATCAGACTGAGTAGAGTTTACCTTTAAGGCTGACTTCAAACTAGTCCAAGGAGTTGAGACTTTTTTGTTTCCTTTGGAAAGCCGGAAGTGATTGGCTGGCTCCTGTGCGTTGATTGTAGGTCATGGAACCTTTAGGGGGACCTTGCTGCACGAAGGAAAAGAAAGTTTGCAATCTGGTTGTGGTAGCAAGTGTACACACTACTTGACGTTATTGAACTATTAATAATTTTTTTATTTTAAATCTCCTATTGGAAAGCAGTTGAAGAGCCCAGAAGTTTGTTTCTAAAGCATATACTTTTACACGAAACTTAAGTCAAGACACAAAGGCATGAACGATAAATCCTTTCTCAATCCCTGAAAAGGGGACTGGGAGACTTACTTTCTGCCAAGGGCCATTGGGATATTTATAACACGGTTCACAGGCCATACTGGTCAGATATTTCGTTAGCTCCCCCTGATGTGATGGCGAGGACTGTGATGTTCGCTGGTACTGATGATTTTGACCTTGCGGGCTGCACATTCCCACCAGTCTTAAAACACTCCTATGTTTCTCCTCACTCCAAAAGTGAGGAAACGCCGAAGTCCTTCCCCAGAGAATCACAGGCTCTGGGTGATGATTCGTTGAAGAAATAAAGGGGAGACATGATAGAGAGTAAACCTGGTGTGCAATATTAACATCCAATCCGTATGAATACAATTGGCTTCTGACTTGCTTCACTTAATAGACTGATAGAAAGAAGCATGCTATGTAGGTAACCCCATCTATAGACAGATAAATACATATTGTATACAGTGAACCCTCGTTTATCGCGGTTAATCGGTTCTAGACCCTGCCGTGATAAATGAAATTCCACGAAGTAGGATTCCTTATTTGTAAATCAAATATTTTCGTAGTTAGAGCATAGAGGACATGAAAAAACACCCTTTAGTCACCATTACACTCGTATTACCCAATTTATTAAACGAAAAAGGGAAAATACAGTAAAACATTTTGGACGTTATAATTATCATTGATTATTTATTATATTATTTATGGCATCTAGTTTACAGTCTTACATATTTCACATACAGTATTATTATACATAGTTCTTACAAATACTGTAATCAATAGCCTATGAAATGACTTAAGGGATGTACTCTACAGGTGGGTCACCGTCTTTTTCCTCTGAAGGAGCGGGTGTAGGCAGTGAGTGCTGTTACGCAAAAACCGCGATAGAGTGAAGCCGCGGAAGTCGAAGCGCGAAGTGGCGAGGGTTCACTGTATTGGCATTTGTCAGAAATTTGGTCGTAAGTCTTCGCATAGGAACATTACTAGAGGTGCTGCCTGCTGCTGCAGTGATTGCGATTGTTCCTGGACCATTCAGAAGGCACCGTTCACAAGCTCACGACATGAACAATGCCCCAAGGGGCCCTGACCACCCCTCTCTTTCCTGTGAGCTCCAGCAGAGCGCCCTATCCACCTTTTCCCCCAGTAACATGGACATTGAAAAGTGTGATGATTGTCGATCTATACCAACATTGCCCAAACTGAACACCCTCAAATAATAGGATTTATGAGTATTGGTAGGCTCATAAGTGGGCAGATATTTGGATATTCTTAATGTCGCAGGAGAGGTTACCTACCACTAATAATTCCAGTTAACCTTTGAGACTTCACTCCAGCTAGTTAGGGACCGTGACCTTATATATAGCTCCTTCCTTACTGCTCTTCACTGCAGTCTTTCCTGAGGACTCGAAGGCTCATTCTTGGTCTTCAGAAAAAGTAAACTATATTTCCTCATAAAAATTGATCGTGTTTATGCAAATTTCATAGATATTTGTTAGCCCACACCTCCAAAATTATGAAAGGAATTTGTTTTCAAATTTCCTACATGTTACGTATTATATAGAGAATTCTTACCTTCCCCAAATGATCAGTAAGATATCGAAGATATTTATGGACTACAATAGCCAACTATTGATACAAACATGCTATAAAATAAACAACCTTGGTGTCCTTGTGGCCTGCAACACTTATTTCTCTCTTCCCTGGATCTGTAGGCAGGGGTGGGGGGTGGGGTTCTGCTCCGGTGCAGGACATCATGTTTGGTAAAGTAGGGGGGCAGCAAAAAGAGGAAGGCCTGTAAACAGGATGGGTTGACACCATGGCTGTAACAGCAGGTTCAAACATAAAGACGATGTAAGGATGGTGCAGGACGGGGCAGTGTTGTGTGCAGAGGTGCTATGGGGCAGAACCCACTCGATGGCATCTAACAATATGTGTCTCCTCATTTTGGAACCAGCAACTCCTTGAGTATTTTCTTCTCATGACAGATAGCAGGTCCTTCCAAGTCAAGACTCGAATTATCCATGAGTTCTACCTAAGTTCACGGAACAAAGCAAGTTGATAAGTAGGGTAGAGAAGAACACATCTCCCCAAAAGAAGGCTCTATAAAGTGATATGGCAAAGGGATGTAATAATTCTGTTGCACGCAGGGGGTGAAAATTGGGAACAATTGTCAAATCTATACTGTGTATGTGAATCTCATATGTTCCTTCTCTGTCATTCACAGGAGTTGAAATTGATTGGCCTGGATATTCCACACTTTGCTGCAGATCTTCCACTGAATCGCTGTAAAAACCGTTACACAAACATCTTACCGTGTAAGATCCTCCGTGGTACCCACTCTCCTCAGGTCTTAGAAAGGCTGAGGGGCCACCATCATTGCCAAGTCCTCAGTTGTACCTACCGTTCGCCAGAGCTCGTTGTCATCCGAGCCCTCAAGGCCATGTCGATGAGCACAGTGAATCCAGTCATCTCCTTTGTGCTATCAGATCATTAGCCTCTGTTGTACGTTAGGAAGAGTTTCATATGAATGGAGACTGACCATTTGGCCTGTTGGAGGTCAAAGTTGGCTCAATCCATTTGGAGATCAGATCATTTTTGTGCTCTCCTACGTTATTGTCTGTCAATTCTGACAGAGGGAGAAAACTGACAGAGGGAAATGGAGTGTATTCATTTAGGTTGGCAAGTTCTATTGTGGCCTAGCATGCTATAATGAAAGAGTATTCCGTGGGGGTGGGGGAGGTGCTATAAAGTCCTTGCTGTTGTTTGTTGTGTGTGAAATCAGGTTTAGCCCTACTCAGAGTGACCGTACTGGACAGAATGCAACTGTCCCATAGAGTTTCGTAGGTTGTCATCTTAGTGAGACCATGTGGCCAGGTCTTTTTCCCACAGAGTGAGTGGCTGGTGGGTTTGAATTGCCAGCCTTGGTTAGAAAGCATCCTAACAAACAACCAAGCAACTTCCAGGGCCCCTTCCTTATAAAGTAGACAATTAAAATGCATTCCAATGATTATTTAACGTTCTAATCAACTACAGTCTAGAGGAGTTAGAAAAGGGAGGTTGGAAATGTTGGAAGACAGAGACTAAAAATGGTGCCATTTTTAGTTAATGAGCGATGGTCCTGGATAGAGTGGGAGAAAAAATCTGAACCAAACTCTCACTGCCACGAAGTCCATTCCACTTCATACCAAACTCTCACTGCCACGAAGTCCATTCCACTTCATACCAAACTCTCACTGCCAC